AAAAAAAAAAAAAAACACGTCACCTCAGTTTGCTGGGAGGGGTTTTGCGGTTCGCAAACACATCTGGTATTCGGTCTAGTACTAATTCTAGACTTCATACTAACTCTAAATTCATCTACCAGATATAATGGCAATGCGCTGACACGTCACTGTTAAGACAGGAGTAACACAAACTAATCCCAAGTTTCCTCAAGTAGCTTCAGCTCGTCCAAGCTATTTTGCTCTTAAATGTTCTTTGGTAGTATCTGGTATTTGTTACTTTCAGACTATGTCACTGCGATATATTTTACAATGGACTTGCCTGTTGTGGTTTAAATCCTCCGACTTTCTGCCAGCTTGCGTAACAAGGCCTCAACGGTCATCTTTAAAAGAATAATTTGGTGGCAAAAGTGACCCGAGAAATTTTATTTCCGAGTAAATATCGATTAGTACTTCCCCCACCCACTGGGATAGTAAAAATGCCTGCCCGATTTTTAAGTGCTCTTCGAATTATATCGCCAAGGAAATTCTCCAATTTTTCCTAGCTATTATTAACATAAAAAAGTTTTAAATAAATGCGCTCGTCTTCAACTCTGAATGTGTACCGCGTAAAAATGTATTCAATGAATGCAAGTGTCACTAAAAAGTCCTAAGGAAAAACCAAGCAGGTGGTAAAAATGGTCTTCATGGTTTTCAAGATATTCTTCAGCAATATCTATGTACATGTGCTAACGCTCAAACCAACTTGGTGAAGGGGTCAATAGCTTTCACTGGCAATGAATATCGTCGTACGCGCAGTTTACCAGGACTGTATGCCGGGTCGTTTATCAATTTAATGTTTTGAGTGATTAACGCTTTGATACCATTTTCTAAACTAGTCATCCAAAAAAATCATAACTCAATTTTTCATAACTATTTTGTTTAAAATAATAATACAAGAAAAAAATTATAAAAAATTGCCTGGGCGTGGTCTACGGCCCATAGAATGTCAGGGAAAGGAGCAGCTATGTGGCATTTTTGGTACACATGCGGTTTTGCATCTTCGGTAAAAAAAAATCGCACTTTCAGCTAAATTGAGATTTCTATTTAGTTGCAATATATTTTAAATTTTTTTTGTAGCTGAAATATACTTTAACAAAAATATATATATTTTTTTATATATTTATGCTGAATCTCTTTAATGAAAAAAGGCTTAACCTCAGTTACGTTGTGACTTTAAACAAAAAAATAAACCTTGAAGTTGTTTCAAAAACATTACTTCCAACAAAAAAATTTTTTTTTTGTTTTTTATGCTTTTTTTATCTTCAGTAACATTATTTTATTAATGTGGTTGTGCGATCATTTTTTTTATATTTTATTTCTTGCTGTATATAATGGTACATAAAGCCTAAATCAGTAAAGTTTTCGCTGAGTTTCTTAAACCAATCTTTGAAAAAAGTTCAAAAACAGCATAAAAATCACATTATGATACTGTTCAAAAAAAAATTTATATTTTTATGCAGATTTTTTTAACATAAACAGATTTGCCATCTGAGGCGATTTTTTCAAAAAAATACTTTAAAAAAAATATTAATATTATAAAAGACTAAACTTTTTGAGGTTTTTTTTCAAATCGGTCCAGCTCACGTAAATCTTAGTATTTTTCCGAAATATTTCGCACAAGCCTTAAAATATAATATATTATATAATGGAAAAACAGTACTGACTTTATTTTTTTTTTTGCGTGTGGAGGTATGCAGTCTAATGTACGTATATATTTCCTGTTTTTCTTTTTTAATATTCAATTTTTAACCGACTGGAAAAAAACGAGAAGGCTACATAAATTCTTCGAAATATATATATATTTTTTTATGTATGTTACCGCATAGCTTTGGACTAAGTTAACCGATTTCTATAATTTTTTTACCTCAGAGGTGGTCTCATACTAATTTGGTCTAGATCAGTTCGTTGAAGAAATTAAATTTTTATATGAGAATTGAAGTCGGTTTTGTTTTTTTGCTTAAAAATTACTTGTTTCACAATTTTGAGAAAAAAAGAATCCTATAAAACACAATCACATTTTTTTTCACTTACTTAATGTAACACAAAAGCACGCAACAAGAGCCAATGCGAGTAAAATTTGCACTTTATTCATTTTGTGTAGAGTTTTGTAAAAATTAATAAAATAAAAAGAAATCGAGCGCGAGGAACTTCTGTGGCTCACAGCTGACTATTAACTGAGTATAAAAACGAAATGTGTCAAATATATGTATATAACATAAACACAAGAAAAAATTAAATTTCACTGGAAATAGATGACGCATACACATATTCATACGTGCATATGTACATACGTATATATGTACGGGTCCAATAGGCTTTTATTTTCTTCCGAAAAAATGTTATCAACTCGTATTTAACTTCATATTACCTACTTCGCCAATACAGCAAGAAGGGGGGCAATGAGAGCATTTTTTTGTAGAAACGATAAGGCTATGAGTCAAAAAAGCTTATTTGTAATCATATGTATTTATAGTAAGCAACAACAATGCCGCTGATTGATGGGCCTTATATATGTATATACATATGTACATATGTACATATCATTCTTGCACGAAGCGTGTCGCCAGAGTACCAGCGACTAGGTGCGTGTCCGCTTTCCTCGTTGCTTCCTCTTCCATAAGTTACGCGCTACCGCAACAAAAGTTCCCTGGTCTGAACGCAGTACTAGGAAACATTAATTGCTTTTATCAAACCCATCGATATGTTTGTATACCCCCATTAGTAGTGTAGATAAGGTGGGAATTAAGAGGACTGATTACACCCTCAGAGTCAATAACGAATAAATACACAGTGCGACAAAAAGACAAATCTGTAAATACACTTGAGGCAAAATTTAGTGCGGATTTTAGGTAAGGTCGAGTACAATATCCAAATAGGTTTCTTATAATTTCTAAACTATCGATTTTGTTTTTGGAGCGAATCTTCTTAAGCCGCGGTTGGTTGGTTGGGATAAATTGGCAAATTCAATGGAAATTGCACACGGAAATGGTGCAACGGAAATAGTTGGGACGGAATCAAGTGCTTCTTGGGTGTATGCACATTAGGGTAGTCCAAAACCAGTAAAGTAGGTATTGTAATGCTCTAAATCTAAAAAAGAATAACCCTTTTTTTTATTTTGAAATCAAATAAAATTGGACCCCTCCATTGCATTTTTCGGGGTTTTCGTGGGTTTTTGGCGGACAAATAAATTATAGTTGCGATTAAATAATGGTTAAATAAATAATTGGGTATTATTATTGGGAATCTCCAGCAGATGAACATAGTTTTCCGATAGAAAAATAAGTTGTTTTTCCCCATATAAAACACATGGGAAACTTTGGGCGTTTAGAGCGACCTCTAAATATTTTTTGATTTCAAAATAAAAAATAAGGATAAATATATGTTATTCAGTATAGAACAATCCCAGGGGGTGACAGCATAAAAATTCCGACTTTACCTTTTTTCATGCATTTTTGGACCATGCACATGGTACTAATTTAACAAAAACTTACTAATAAGAGGTTAAGAATAATACTTAGAAAAAGTCCAATACAAGAATGAAAGTATAGGTGAGAACATACATATATAAAGAAAAGAATAAAGGTAAAGGTAAAAGTAAAAACAAAAACAAAGATGCGTAAGGATAAAGGCATAAATTAAGGACAAGGTAAATTTAAACACTTTACTTATATGTATAAGGGCAAAGGTGGAGGGGAATATATAGATGAAGAAAATCATAGACATAAAGGTAAAAACAAAGATAAATATTAAGAAAAAGATGAGGGTAAGGATACCGATAAAAGTAAAGATGAAGATAGAGGAAGATTAAATTAAAGGCAATTATAAAGAAAAGGATATAGATAGAGACACAGACTCAACTAGGGAACTAGTTCGGGACTTTCGGTATTCTCGGAAGTTATCGGTATAATCGATATTTTTATTGATATTTTTATCGATTTAGCTATCGATATTTTTATAGATTTTTATCGATATTTTCATCGATTTTGCCATCGATATTGTTATCCGTATTGTTATCGATATTTTTATCGATTTGTGATCGGTACGAGGATACTGATAAAAGTAAAGACCAAGGCAGAGGAAGAAATATAAAGGTATGTAATTATAAAGAAAAGGATACATATCGTTACCTTAACATAGAAAGACCCTATCTAACGTTTTGGTTTCTTTAAGGGTTGATGAATAAACCATGTAGAAAATCATGTCCTTTTGCTGCGAATTTCTTTCAAAGGCTGTTTTTGTTGAAGAAAGTAACTATTTTTATGCTACTAACTAATTTAAAGTACAATAGGTTTTATAGTGAATAATTGGCAGACCTTTCAACAGTGCTGGATTTGAAAATAAACACGGCTTTAGCGGCCTCCTCGTATGTATGTATGTATGAACATAAATTTCTTTAAAATATAAAATTTGTAGAATTTGGATTTAGTAGTTAAGCAAATATCTAATTTATTACATTTGGGAAATCACCGATCGTTATGGGGCAATACTAACCAACAAACCTTGAACTAAGTTACACAAATGTGATTTAATAGTCTGTGTTTAATCCAGCAAGATTCCAAAATCTTCAGCTACTTACCATTATCCGCTCAGCGTCAGGCTGTCTGCCCAAGTGTCTGGTATACGAAAGAAAGAAGAATAGCTAAAATGGAAAATAAAACGCCTACACCACAAGTGGTCTAAAAGTCAAACACTGGCAATAAAAAGTCTTTCAACCATTGAAGTTATTCGCAGTTTTCACAAACAGTGCTCGGCATTTCCTTCTATAGATTTCGCTTTTCCTTTATACACCACTGACCTTCGTCGCCCAAAAGGACACATGCCATGCCTGCGCCGCGGCACGTCCCAAGAATGTCCCCGTTAAGCA